CTGCCATCATGCAAGAGGGTTCAAATAATTGTCCGATTGTTAAAACCCTAATGCATGAGAAACGACATGTAAAGACCATAATTACATATCGGCCATCACACAAGAGGGTCCGAATAAGTGTCCGAGTGTCTAAACCCCAATGCATGAGAAATGGCAAGTAAAGAACATAATTACATATCTGCCATCGTGCAAGAGGGTCCGAATAAGTGTCCGATTGTTAAAATCCTAATCCAAGAGAAATGACATGTAAACACCATAATTACATATCTGCCATCACACAAGAGGGTCCGAATAAGTGTCGAGTGTTTAAACCCTAATGCATGACAAATGGCAAGTAAACACCACAATTACATATCGGCGATCACGCAACTGGGTCCGAATAAGTGTCTGAGTGTTTAAACCTTAATGCATGAGAAATGGCAAGTAAAGACCATAATTACATATCTACCATCTTGCAAGACGTTCCGAATAGATGTCCGAGTCTTTAAACCCTAATGCATGAGAAATGGAAAGTAAACACCATAATTACATATCTGCTATCATGCAAGAGGGTCCGAATAAGTGTCCGATTGTTAAAACCCTAATCCATGCAGAAATGACATGTAAACACCATAATTACATATCTGACATCATACAAGAGGGTCCGAATAAGTGTCCGAGTGTTTAAACCCTAATGCATGAGAAATGGCAAGTAAACACCATAATTACTTATCTGCGACCAGACAAGAGAGTCCGAATAAGTGTCCGAGTGTTTAAACCCTAATGCATGAGAAATGGCAAGTAATGACCATAATTACATCTCTGCCATCATGCAAGAGGGTCCGAATAAGTGTCCGAGTGTTTAAACCCTAATGCATGAGAAACGGCAAGTAAATACCATAATTACATATCTGCCATCATGCAAGAGAGTCCGAATAAGTGTCCGAGTGTTTAAACCCTAATGCATGAGAAATGGCAAGTAAACACCATAATTACATATCGGTCATCATACAAAAGGGTCCGAATAAGTGTCCGAGTGTTTAGACCCTAATGCATGAGAACTGGCAACTAAACACCAGAATTGAATATCTGCCACCTTGCAAGATATTCCGAATAGGTGTCCGCGTGTTTAACCCTAATGCATGAGAAATGGAAAGTAAGCACCAAGTTACATATCTACCATCATACAAGAGGGTCCGAATAGGTGTCCGAGTCTTTAAACCCTAATGCATGAGAAATGGCAAGTAAACACCAGAATTACATATCTGCCATTTTGCAAGAGGGTCTAAATAGGTGTCCGAGTGTTTAAACTCTAATGCAAGAGAAATGGCAAGTAAACACCATAATTACATATCTACCATGATGCAAGAGGGTCCGAATAAGTGTCCCAGTGTTCGAACCCTAATGAATGAGAAATGGCAAGCAAACATCATATTTACAAATCTGCCATCATGCAAGAAGGTCCGAATAAGTGTCCGAGTGTTTAAACCCTAATGCACGAGAAATGCCCAGCAAACACCATAATTACATATCTGCCATCTTGCAAGAGTTTCCAAATATGTGTCCGAGTGTTTAAACCCTAATGCATGTGAAATGGAAAGTAAGCACCATATTTACATATCTACCATCATGCAAGAGGGTCCGAATAAGTGTCCGATTGTTAAAACCCTTATGGATGAGAAACGACACGTAAACACCATAATTACATATCGGCCATGATACAAGAGGGTCCGAATAAGTGTCCGAGTGTTTAAACTCTAATGCATGAGAAATTGCAAGTAAACAACATAATTACATATCTACCATCATGCAAGAGGGTCCGAATAATTGTCCCAGTGTTCGAACCAAAATGCAGGAGAAATGGCAAGTAAACACCATAATGACATATCTGCCATCATGCAAGAGGGTCTGAATAAGTGTCCGAGTGTTTAAACCCTAATGCATGGGAAATGGCAAACAAACACCATAATTACATATCTGCCATATTGGAAGAGGTTCCGAATAGGTGTCCGAGTGTTTAAACCCTAATGCATGCGAAATGAAAAGTAAACACCACCGTTACATATCTGTCGTCGTCCAAGAGGGTTCGAATAAGTGTCTGATTGTTAAAACCGTAATGCATGAGAAATGACATGTATAGACCATAATTGCATATTGGCCATCATACAAGAGGGTCGAATAAGTGTCCGAGTGTCTAAACCCTAATGCATGAGAAATGGCAAGTAAAGGACATAATTACATATCTGCCATCTTGCAAGATGTTCCGAATAGGTGTCTGAGTGTTTAAACCCTAATGCATGAGAAATGGAAAGTAAACACCATAATTACATATCTGCCATTATGCAAGAGGGTCCGAACAAGTGTCCGATTGTTAAAATCCTAATCCATGAGAAATGACATGTAAACACCATAATTACATATCTGCCATCATACAAGATGGTCCGAATAATTCAGATGAAAGTGCATCGAAGAGCTGATGCTTATTCAGATCATTGGAAAGCCAAATTTATTGACGGTATCCCTACTCTTTTTACTGAGAGAGCTCGAAACAAATTAAGAGATCGCCATAATCAATTAGCTATTCCTTACAGTCAATATACCTACGGACAGCTTGTAGGTATCATAACTGATGAAGGTCTTGCACTGTGCAATGATCTTAAATTACAACAACAAATGAAACACCAACATCTTACAGGAAAGAAAGAATTAGGTGAATTTTGTGAACAATTCGCCTATGACTCAAAATTACAGTATCCTCATAAACAGAAAAGGCATAAAAGTCATAAACCTTTTAAGTCTTATTCTAAAAAATCCAGAAAATATAAGTATGCTAAAAATAATCAAATCCAGCCTCAAGTATCCTCGAAAGGAAAACAAAAATATTCCAAGAAAAGATCATCTAAATCCACAATCAAATGTTATAAATGTGGCCAGATAGGTCATTATGCCAATCGTTGTAAATCTAAATTACAACAGAAGCTTAATGAACTATCATTAGACAACAATATCCAGCAAGAAATACTCAGAATGCTTTCTGATGAATCAGACACTTCTTCTAATGAAGCAGAGGAAGATGGAATTGCAGCTTTATATTCATCAGATTCTGAAGAAGAATATGATCATTCTCCAGAAATTTGTGAATGTAAAAACCAGATTCATCAAATCTCTGATGAAGCCAATTATTGGAAAGCCATAGTTGAAATGAATGGACTTGATACTGTAGGACCCAGTATCAATGTTCTTACAGAAGAAGAACAGAAAATGATTAATATTGCTGATCATATTTCTAATCTAGAAATGAAACTTAAATTTTTAGAACTATGTTTACAGCAACAAAAGAAGGAAGAAATTCTTCCTCCACAGCATTACAGTATGAAAGAAGTCTTTCAAAGACTTCAACCTGTTTCAGAAGAAAAACCTTTAACAATCCAGGATTTAAAAATGGAAGTAAATACTTTAAAAATTGAAGTAAAACATTTACAAACCTCTAACATTGCTATTAATTCTGAAATTAAAAAGATTAATAGTAAACTACAGAATAAAGAAAAAAAGAAAACTAATGGAACTACTTCAGAATCCATAACCAATCCAGAAACCACAGAGCCTGATTATCTCATGCTCATGAATACTGTTACTTTCCAGAAATTGTATATTCGTATAACTTTTATGATAAAACCAGATTTTGTAGACAGCAGTGCTGATATGAATTGTATTCAGGAAGGATTAATTCCTACTAAATACTTTCATAAAACGACCCAATCACTTACAAGTGCAAGTGGTAATTCATTATACATCCAGTATAAACTTCCAGAAGTTTTAATTTGTAATCAAGGATTATGTCTTCCCACGTCTTTTGTTCTTATTAAGAACATGTCACTACAAGAAATTGCATTTTTTGCAACGCAACAAAATATGTTGCTAAAAGGCAAAATTCGTCGGCAAAGAGTTTTGCCGACACACAAAGGTACGTCGCCCACCCGTAGGCAAAAGTGAGTCGGCAAAAGTTTTTGCCGACGAAATTGTCATTGCGTTGGTAAAAGTAATGCCTTTAGCGACAAACATAGTCGTCGATAAAAGCCTTCATCCATCGTTGGCAATTTACCTGCGTAGGTAAAAGTAATTCAAATATGATGATTGTGTGACACTTTTCCCAACGCAAATTTGCATGGGCAAAAAATATACTTTTAACAACAAAATATGTGTCGGCAAAAGTAAACTTTTGGCGACACATTTACATTGGTAAATGCTGCCATTTGCCGACGATTTGTTTGTCGATAAAGCTTTACTTTTGGCAACGATAAATTAGCATTGGCAAAACATACACTTCTAGCAACACAATATGAGTGGGGAAAAGTAAACTTTTGGCAACACATTTATGTCGGTAAATGTTACCATTTGCCAACGATTTGTTTGTCGATAAAACTTTACTTTTGGCAACGACAAATTGGCATTGACAAAAAATACACTTCTAACAACCCAATGAGTGGGCAAAATTAAACTTCTGGCAACACATTTACCGACAAAAATAATTGAAAATAATTTATATATTTTTATAAGATTTACAGATTTACAAGAGGCATCCCTCAGGCACCACTATTACAAACTAATAACATTGATATGAAATCACCTAAAGTTGATGTGCAGGCAAAAAAAAACTGTTGATACTTCTTTTAGAAGCAGTGTATTACCTAAAAGAATAAACTCACTAAAATACCCAAATACATCCAAATTGTGAACCCACAGTAGAAACAACAGATAACAAAATGAAAATATGAAACTAACAAAGACAGGCAAAACGGCATGACAATCACCCACAAACTTATGCAGCAGACCAGCATCTACTAGCATCCACTTCACAGCAACATTGCAGCAGAGCAGACAGCAAGAAAGAAATAAATCTCAAACAACACACTCGAGCCGAGCACAAAACTCGCTTCAATCTATGCACATCATCATTCTCATCCCCACAGGGGGCATATCAGGACCAACAAAATCCCTTTCCACTTTCAATATACCTGCAGCAGTGTTATGTATAATAGAAAGACGAAGAGATCACTCCTTAATATGCCAATCATTAGCCTATTCAGATTTAAAATTATTCACTAATAGCAATCTATATCTATATAGTAATGCTACCTAAACAAGTAAAGAAAGAAGAAGAGGTGAACGAGTTGATTGCGAGAAAGCCATAGTTGGTTAGAGACCATCTTTGCTCCTAGATTCACAAACAAAGGTTTTAATGCTGACTATTAACAGGGGATGCCAAATGCTTTATAGGCAAAAAAATGTTGGTGCAATGCAAAGCCTACGAAGAAAGTAAATTGACTTTGACTAGTTAGTCCAACATATCAACCCACAAGACTCGCAGCCATCCTCTTCCTACACTGGACCAGCAACAGAGCTCAAACTGACAGAAAGATACACACTCAAGTAACAACACCAGCAACAGAGCTCAAAACGAACATTATGTTTTGACTCAAAACGAAAGGATTACAAATGTTACCATGATTAAAAATGTTAGGATCACAAATAACCACGTAAATTTGTATGAATTTTTTGCACAAAATTATGTTTATAGCACTGCTCTGAGGTCACCTAACATTAGACCACTTAAATTCTAGCACCTTAGATCTAAGAATTTTTGTTAATGTTCCAATTGGTGGGAAATCCAATGGGTAATCCCTGGAATAACTGAGAATGTGGAATTCTATTCCTTTTGCCTGGATGTGGAGTGTGTGGAAGTCCAGCAGCAATAACTGCCTTTTCAATGGTTGCCAAACAGATTTCAATGAAATTAGGTAGTGGTGTTTGCAGGTTTATGTAAAGGTAAAGTTAAGAGGTACTATGTGTATGAGGGAGTAGGTGGTGTTTGCAGCTGATGGTGTGTTTTTATTATACTAGTTAATTGGTTTGTGTTGCTTTGGATTGCTGGTTGTTTGTTTTCTTTTCTCTGTTGGTTTCTCACCAACTATTGAGGCTTGTGATGAGATTGTGAAGTCACACAGTGATGTTGTTTGCACTATCCTCTACTTTATTGATGTTCTCCGTATGTACATGTATGTTTGGTTTCATTAATAAAGGCATTCTTTCTTTTGCTGATAAAAAAAAAAAAGCACCAGCAAAATAGGGGCAAATCAGCACAGCAAAACAAGGGCATGTTCCTCCATGCATCTCAATTGTTGCTGTTGTTGAGAAACTAACCCCAAGATCGTGTTGTCCAGGTCTTTTAATGACAGAAAACCACAACAATGGAGAGACAGAGTTCAACGGTAGGAGTGATGACTTTGACCAAAACAAACTGTTGAGCTAAAATTACCAAGAAGTAGCATAGAATTACCATTAGAAGCATGGACTAGAATGACAATTAAAGATTTCACCCTTTTCAATTCAAGAAGTATGTTTAAGCAAAAATACAAAAGAATCAAGTTCCATTATTTCAATTGACGATGATGAGGGGAAAAAACTTTAAATTAAGAGAGAGCCAAATTTACCTGTCCGGAAAAGCAGCAAAGTTGAAAGGGCACATATGACTGACCTCTTTCAAATTTACGTTGCAGTAGAGTAATTTCTTGTTACTACTGTACATGACAGTTGGCCTATCTGATGCAGCAAATACATGTGTTGTATTCTGCGATGAGAAAGTGCAGAGTGTTATAGGCTGGGTCCCAAGGGACAAGATAAAGGACAAAACCTGTGTTTCTAGCTCGGTCAAATGGGCTTGTTTTCTTCTTCTAGAGCGTCTAGCTGATTCTCTATTAGAAAGCATTCTGAAAAACACACAACAAAGAGTATTCCAGGAAGAGAAGCAAAGAGAATGTACACATGAATAAAGACATGGCTAAAAGGTGATAAAAAAGAAAATAGACTTAAATTCAAATGCCACCATAACAAATTATGAATCATTATCTTCATTGCCACCAATCATTGTCAATTCCTTCTTTCCTATCCACAATGAAATCTTGATTAGCCTTTCCTAGTCTACTGTTTACATCAAATTCATTCTTTCCTATCCACTACTGCAAATACACTTGCACATTGAAAGAGACAAATTAGCAAAAGCAGAAGGCAATTTTGGATAAGGTAATGATAAAAGCCATGAACAAACCATATAATAAGACAGAGGTTTACCTCATGCAAATGGAACTTTTAAAATTTCCTTTTCATTTTTGAGAAAGAGAGGATGCTAAGAACTTACTCGGCAAGTTTCCCTCATTCTCTCAATTTGCTAAGGAGTCTTGATCTTCAAAATAGAAAGTTAGACGTTAAAAAAGAATTCATGTCTAGTGAAAAAAACCCCAACTTGAACAGAATTTCAATTTTAACTTGAAGAACTATTTTTACATACAAAAGTGTACCTCAACAACATGCTGAAGATCACTGTTGGGCTCAATTTTGGGGATCCCCTGCAGTTAATAAGAATTAACATTTGTCAAAATATTAGACAAGAAACATGAAAAGCATTAAAATGACAACAATAGAAACAGACAAGTCATGAACACGGCCAGATATAGCAAAGCTCTAAAATCTAAGAGAACGTGGAAATGCAGGAGTTAGCTTTTAATAGCTAAAATAGATATGCTAATGTCCATTGAAAAATAAATCCATCAAATCATTAACATTTTCACCTCATCAAATTATGTATTGACAAATGCCAAATAAAGAAAGAAATAAATAAATAAAAGAATACAGAGCAAGCCTTGGCAGTAAAAAAGAAAAGAAAAATATCCCAAGCGGCAACAGTAACACAGGGGAAAAAGAATTTCAAATAATTTATTAGCATAACAAGAGAAAAATAAACAATAAATTAGCTGTACCTGGCACAATATTTCACCACCAAACATTGCTAAATCAATCTACAAAATAAAGTTCAATTATTTTGATAAGTAAAAATAAGATAATTCAAATCAAATAACATAAAAAGAAACTAGTTTGTGACATTTGAGATGAATTCACAGTCATGATCAAATGCCAAGAGTTAGAACCCAAAAAAAATAATAATAACCCAAAATTTGGCATGATACGAGACAATAATTTAATTCAAGCCGAATGAACTTATAAGACAGGACAAGAACCAAAATAACCAAGGTTGAGGCAGGAAGGTGAGGAGGTATGGCTTTGGATAAAGCTGAAAGGGAAAAAAATTAGAGTCCAGATTGAAGAAAAGTGTTGCCTTAGATATATCAGAATTGTGAAAAGAATTCGTAAAGCAGACCCCATATAGTTGGAATAGAAGGCATTACTATTACTGACTCGAGAATAATACACAAGTATGAGCCATATATTTGTGCCCAGACCTTTAAAAGATTCACATCAAGGGAATGTCGCATCTGCCGCTCCATGGATTATAAGATGATTGGTTTTGATGCACCAATCATCCGTAATTTTTAGCCAAAAAGTTTCTGAACCAGGCTTTCATGAGAGCATTTTTGACATAAACATTCCAAAAGCTATTTATGGTTTCTTCGTCAAGTTTCATTGGGAGGTTCCAGACAATGATTTCCAAATATGTGGTTAAAGTCAGATAGTACCACCCAATGATAAATTTCAGGCTCTATAAGAAAAGGTTGACCATGAATCTATGGATTGGGTGAGAGTTGGAATGACATCACCCAATTCTATGATTAATTGCTGACATTGATTTTCTTTTATATATAAGTAAATAAAGAAGTTATCTTACTCTGGTGGCATGTATCCAAATGTACCCACAAGACGTGTGGGCAACGAAGTACTCCCTACTTCAGCCAGCTTTGTTAAACCAAAATCTGCAACCTGGAAAAGACATATTTACCCCAATTATGATGACCATCACATGGTCGACAACGACTATAGGACTGCAAAGAAAAGAGCATCAACACAACCTTGCCGCGATAGTTTTTGTCTATCAGTATATTTGCTGATTTGATATCACGATGGATATAGATAGGAACAGTATGCTCATGAATATATTCAAGTCCTCTCGCTGAATCAAGGGCAATTTGCACCCTTGTAGACCATGGCAGGGGGTCCCTCCCTACAAACATAAATTTTTTTTTTGATAAATAAACTTACTTCATTAAGGCAGCATCAAGATGATGCAAATAATACAAAAATGTCCCAGCAATAAGCTAGCAAAAGAAAGCAAAACCAAGAAACAAAACCAATCAACTAACTAAACCTGCAAACATAAATTTAGCCACCAGCATTATTTAAAAGCACTACTGCTAAATAAAGTCTTGACATGCACATCTTATCTCACCTCCACGTAAATGTTCACTTAAATTGCCATTCTCGATAAATTCATAGACTAGAAAAAGAGAGCCCTCTACGCAATACCCAATCAAACGCACCTACATTAGATGCCAATGTAAGTTACAATGTCTATATAAATACATATATGTATATATACTTAACATCGTCCTTTATATTTCAAAGATCAATCAGTTAAAAGATAAGAAAAAGTCGCTTAATGATATCACAATCAAAATTAGAAGACAATTGGACCCTCAAGTTTCCATCAACAACAAAATTGTACTGTAACAACCAACCTACTGAAATTCCATATGATAATACACTTTAAATACTCATCTCCTACCGTAGAAGACTAAACCTGTGAATACCTCAACCACAGAGACTTTTAAACAATAAAAAAAAAATCATGATAAATTAAATGGCGCAATGTAAATATATTGGTCGTCAAATTACCATGAAATGATAAATTCTGGAGGATTAAAAATAAAAAGGATTCACCAAAATGGAAGTAAATATCAATCAATTCCAATTACTCCAGGTTCTAAATGTCAGTGAAGTCCATATCAAATCAACAGAAGTGCATGTGCATATATTTACTAACAAGATAACCACATCTCAGATTTAAGCATGATGGTGTGTCTGTAAAAATCTGTGGTACACGCACAAAATATCAAATCATGCAATGACAATAGAGAACAGACTAACCCAACCAAGACAATTAAACAATATCTTTCACACTGGTGAAGTGAAACTTAAAACTAGTAAATTGCCAAAAAGTCGCAACATCAGCAATGCACAAGAAGCCAATAGAAAGAGGGCACAACATTTGCAAAGTCTAGTTTTGAAAATGTAAAAATGAAGAGAGCAATTCTACATTTCGCTGTTTCAGTAGGGAACAACTGCATACTTGAGGTTGGAATCCAATGTAATGATTAATGACCCAATTGTCGCAATGCACATTCATAGTCATCCACCAGTCTCTGTTAACTTCTCGAGAATAGTATAAAAGTGTGTTTAAGAAGAAGTTGCATCTACATGTGCATACAAAAACATGCGGGTGATGTGGCTGTATTTAATAAGCCACTGATTACATACAATTTTTAAGGGGACATGCATTGACTGTGTTCATAACCAACTAATATAGTCTGAATTTCCAAAACCATCCCTCTATTTTACTCTATTAAATGCATTCATACTCAATAGAAGGCCAACAATTCTGCTTTATAGAAGAAAGTGTTGGGCAACTGAGATGAGAATGCTTTGGATAGATTTGTGGTAAAACTAAAAAAGATAGATTAGAAATGAATATATTCATGAAATGGTAGGAATAGCATTTATTGAAAATAAGTTGAGAGAGAACTACTTAACATGGAAGACTTGAGCTGACATCTGATGCATACTCACCACAATCAAAGAAAATATAAATTTATTTAATTTAACAGAACATACAAACTTTGATAGAGCTAAATGACCACAAAAAAAAAAAATTATGTAGCCACCCCCACTTGATTGAGACACAAGGTTTAATTTGTTTCGGTTTGGTAAATGCATTCATACTCATCCAAAAATAATGATATTGTAAAATGCAAAATAAAATACCTTTCTTTTAAAAATGGACAACAATATTGGAATATGCCAAAAGGCATTAGTGGACAAAAATAATGGAAAGTGGGGAATATAAACAGGCATGAAAGTAGCTATTTTGGAGGTAGATTGTCCTTCTTTATGCTTTAACAAGAAAAATGTTTTGCCCACCCATACAGTCAATTTGGCAGGGCATCTAATTTCTGGCATCTTATAAGGAAAGCACACTTGGATATTACAGGGTTTTATGAACTAGAGGCCTCATGAATTAGTTAGGTTTAATATTAAAAAAGGAAAAAATAAAAATAGAAGGAGCAAGAACCACCAAACAAACAGAACATTTTTCAATGAAAAATATCCTCATCTGTTTGTATGTGAGCATGGAACAAAGAATTTGGACATCCCGGTTCTTTGGAGTTAGGCCAGCACGCACAACAATGTCTGAAGTTGCCATGCATTCAAGACACTCACCATGTTAGCCTACATGGACTTCATTTGCCCCTAGATACAATGCTTCACCTGGTTTAAGCTTCACATAGTTAAAGAGGAAAGCTAATAAATTGGATTTTCCTCACATTAATCAGAGAGCACAATTACAAACTAGAAGCACAAAGTTAAAAGTCAGTGAATAACATGAAAAAAAGATTGAGAGGACTTACCACTCCATCCTAAAATCCTGTCTTCTCTAAAAGAGTCAATATATCAACAGGATCAACAAGTTCATACTCATTAATTTCCTGAGGAGCTGATAAACAACACGGATATCAGGTCCAAGCATTCAATGGAAAAAAATTAATACATACTTCTAAAAAAAAAATTAAAACAAGCATTCAATGCCCGAAATTTAGTACTATTTCTTTCAACTTCGTTTCATCCATCCAATACTTTAAAAAACAAAACAGACAAATTCTAATAACTTCACAGGTTGGATCACATACTATCTGTAGACTTGTGGGTGTTTCCAAGTTAGCCATTTTAAAACATTTGGCTCAATTCAACCAAATTCTAACTCAAATTGGACCATAGTAGACTTGTGGATGAATAAATGGATTTATTTTTTTCCCACAATTTACATTACTTATTTATTCATATGTATAAAAAATTATTATTTCATATTTTCTCAATCATATATTATTTTCAATTTTCAATTTTTATTTTCGAGTCATTAAACTTCTAATTGATGCATATTTAAAAAATACAGGTTAATATATCTTACATAATTACAAAAATTAAAAAATAAATAAATATAGAAGTAAAAAAATCAAAATAAAAAATCAAATGGCCTTCCAATAAATTACAATTTTTTAATTTCACAACTAAAATCAAATAGAACAACCATAATCATAGGCAGATATTGAATATGCAGATAAACTGCGACAATGATCAAAACAATCACTCCTAAAAGCAAAAAACAAACGGAAAAAATACTTATAAAGGAAAAAAAACAAAAACAAAATAGAAATCATATGAAGCATATGTGCAGAGAAAAAGATCAAAAAAATCAATCAATTCGAGGAAAGCAATCGATTTTGTTGATCAGTTTGTACCTTAACAGTGGCGGTGTTAAGCCCTCCTCTTGCCTTCTGAATCAGTTACTACCAAAGCAAAAACCAGAAAGGCAAATGCAACGAAACCAAACAATCCTCTGAATACCATTTGTTCCTGAATCAACATTCCAAACACATCCTATCCTTCGTATCTCATCAGCAGCACCAATATACCCAAAACCCCTGAAACTTGTAATTCCTCAAATGTATTTCATATTTTCTCAATCATATATTATTTTCAATTTTCAATTTTCAATTTTTATTTTCGAGTCATTAAACTTCTAATTGATGCAAATTTAAAAAATACAGGTTAATATATCTTACATAATTACAAAAATTAAAAAATAAATAAATATAGAAGTAAAAAAATCAAAATAAAAAATCTAATGGCCTTCCAATAAATTACAATTTTTTAATTTCACAACTAAAATCAAATAGAACAACCATAATCATAGGCAGATATTGAATATGTAGATAAACAGTGACAATGATCAAAACAATCACTCCTAAAAACAAAAAACAAACGGAAAAATACTTATGAAGAAAAAAAAAACAAAATAGAAATCATATGAAGCATATGTGCAGAGAAAAAGATCAAAAAAATCAATCAATTCGAGGAAAGCAATCGATTTTGTTGATCAGTTTGTACCTTAACAGTGGCGGTGCTAAGCCCTCCTCTTGCCTTCTGAACCAGTTACTACCAAAGCAAAAACCAGAAAGGCAAATGCAACAAAACCAAACAATCCTCTGAATACCATTTGTTCCTGAATCAACATTCCAAACATCCTTCTTATCTCATCAACAGCACCAATATACCCAAAACCCCTGAAACTTGTAATTCCTCAAATGTATTTCATATTTTCTCAATCATATATTATTTTCAATTTTCAATTTTCAATTTTTATTTTCGAGTCATTAAACTTCTAATTGATGCAAATTTAAAAAATACAGGTTAATATATCTTACATAATTACAAAAATTAAAAAATAAATAAATATAGAAGTAAAAAAATCAAAATAAAAAATCAAATGGCCTTCCAATAAATTACAATTTTTTAATTTCACAACTAAAATCAAATAGAACAACCATAATCATAGGCAGATATTGAATATGCAGATAAACTGCGACAATGATCAAAACAATCACTCCTAAAAGCAAAAAACAAACGGAAAAAATACTTATAAAGGAAAAAAAACAAAAACAAAATAGAAATCATATGAAGCATATGTGCAGAGAAAAAGATCAAAAAAATCAATCAATTCGAGGAAACCAATCGATTTTGTTGATCAGTTTGTACCTTAACAGTGGCGGTGTTAAGCCCTCCTCTTGCCTTCTGAATCAGTTACTACCAAAGCAAAAACCAGAAAGGCAAATGCAACGAAACCAAACAATCCTCTGAATACCATTTGTTCCTGAATCAACATTCCAAACACATCCTATCCTTCGTATCTCATCAGCAGCACCAATATACCCAAAACCCCTGAAACTTGTAATTCCTCAAATCTACCTCAGTAAACCCTAAAAAGCATTCATAAAAAGATGTGATCTTTTCATCTTTGATCACTGACCCAATTCAAATCTTCATCCAAAACCCCTTGAACCCTCCCAATTCTTGCTGACCCACCAACTAATTTCACTCGGAACTTGATAATCTCAAGCTCTCAGACCAACCAAAACCCACAATTTTCTTTTCCAAGAAATTTCAGAACTCGAATCAAGGAAATATCCAGAGTAAAAAATGAAGTAATAGGAGCAAAAATGAACTCAATCAATGAATGAATGACTATATTTACTAAAATTTTGAGCCAAAAAACGAATCTAGGGGTAAATTTCTTTGGGCATTTTGAATGGAATGTTATGCCATTTGGTTTGAAGAATGCACCATTTGAATTCCAGCATATCATGAATGATATTTTTAATCCCTATACAGAATTTTCCATTTGTTATATTGATGATGTTTTAATTTTCTCCTCATCAATTGACCAGCATATGAAACATCTTAATATTTTTAAGCATGTTATCATCAGAAATGGATTAGTTGTATCTGCATCAAAAATGCAACTTTTTCAGACAACAGTTAGGTTTTTGGGTCATAATATCCATAATCGTACCATTATTCCCATAAATAGAAGCATGGAATTTGCATCCAAATTTCCAGATGAAATCAAAGACAAAACTCAATTACAGAGATTTTTAGGAGGTTTGAATTATATTCATGATTACTATCCTAACCTTGCTACTGATGCAGCAATTTTATATTCCAGACTTAGAAAAAATCCTCAACCATGGAATCCAGAACATACAGCAGCTATTCAGAAAATAAAAACTAGATTCAAAACTCTACCCTGTTTATCTTTACCAAATCCAGCATGGAAGAAAATTGTTGAGACCGATTCCTCTAATCTTGGTTTTGGTGGCATTCTCAAACAATTTAATCCTAACCATAACAAAGAAGAACTTTTAAGGTTTCATTCTGGCATTTGGCATCAAGCTGCCAAAAATTATCCAACTATTAAACAAGAATGTTTAGCTATTATTAAATGCGTTCTTAAATTCCAGGATGATTTATTAAATCAACATTTTTTAATAAGAGTTGATTGTTCTGCTGCTAAACTAATTTTCAAAAAAGATGTTAAAAATCTTGCTCAAAAACAAATTTTTGCCGCATGGCAAGGCCAACTTTCAGTTTTTGATTTTGATATTGAGTATATCAAAGGAGAAACTAATTCTCTTCCAGACTTTTTAACCCGCGAATATTTGCAGGGACCAAATCATGCAGAATAAAGGCCGGGGCTCCGGCAGAAGGGGCCGCGGTAGGGGTAATCCCTACAATACAGAATTTTCTGGCTTACATGCCACTTCCAGTAAAAAAGAGGAATCTAGCCACACGGCTAAAGATGTCCTTCTTGCTCCTCCAGTACCATATGTCCAGAATTTCATCACCGAGGAAACTGTCCTCTATATTGAAACTCCAGATATCCAGTGGATGAAAGATCCATGGGAAACCAAAAGGAGGTACTTGACTACTCAACATGCATTACCTCACTTTGATCAATACCGATACATTTATGAGCAGATTCTTGTCAATATTGCCTCTGTGGATTTTAAACATACTCTAGCTGAGCCTAACTGCACAACTAGTCCTATCAACTACAGCAAAGCCACTATCCAGCAGATTATGCCCATGCTTGCATGGGGCATGCATCCTCATGTTACCCGTACGCTTGAGATCTGTTCTAAGGAGTCTCGGTACAGTTATTGGGATTACATCGACCTTTACACAGGACTTTTATTACATGAATCCCCGTCGGAACCATTCCTGGTTTTTCCGGGTCCTTCCCGACATTTTACAAAACGATCTCCCCAACTGGTTTCTCGTTTGGTGGGATAAGTTTGGTATCCAGATTGATGCATTTCCAGATGACGTTCGCTCTACCTTTAATGAATGGCAGATTGCATACAGTCACCTTCCAGGCAATAAGGATATATTTGTGTCCAAATCTACCGTCCATTTTGTCATCCACTTTGGAATCCCTTGGATATGG